TCCCCTGGGACCTGCTGTTCTCCTCCCTTTCTTCAGGGGTTCAGACTGTACCACTGTGAGGAGATGGGGATGGGTGGGTGATTTGTTCAGACCCTAATTGCTTTCTGCAGAGAACCCCGGACAGACAAGATGGGGGAATGGAGCGATGCCCCCATGGGGTTACTGCAGTTTGCCGGCTGAGTGCTGGGGGATTAGCTCCCTCTAGGGGCAGCGAGGGGAGCTCCCTCCACACTAACAGATGTTTGCGGGGGCTGGAGGTCCTGGGTTCAGTTCGCACCCAGGGCTGTGTGGGCTGTATACACATATCCAGCACTGTAATATTTGGTCTCCCATCTGGCCCCAGGGCGCAGGGAATGGGGCAGGGGCCTGTCCCCTCTAGGGGGCGCTGGCTCCCATCTGGCCCCAAGTCAGGGACTGGCTGGCTCAGGGGGACAGGGAATGGGGCAGGAGCCTCTCCCCTCTAGGGGGCGCCAGCTCCCATCCAGCCCCAGAACAGGGACTGGTTGGCTCAAGATGGGCGAAGGCAATTGAGTCAAGTGGGCTGGGAGTGAATGCGTTTGGAGCCAGGGCTGGATCCACCCGGTAACACTGAAATCTACCGTCTCCTCATGGATTGAGTTTTGGTCACCAGCTTGGGTCCGGGCAGCGCTCCTCCCCCTGCAGGGGGTTAACACCACAGACCTTGCTCCTGGACATGCCCATCGGACCCAGCCAGGATTGTCTCCTCATGCACCACGCAAACGGTGCCCAAGAGGAAAGTGGGGGATCACGGCAGAGCGGCTCCCCTGGGGGACGTGGTCCCAGCTCCAACTGGACTTTTCTTTACCCACCTGGCTTTTCACGGGTTAAAAAATAAAATAAAAATCTCACGCACACGCAGTACATATGCATCATCATAGAATTGAATCACAGAAGATCAGGGTTGGAAGAGACCTCAGGCGGTATCTAGTCCAATCCCCTGCTCAAAGCAGGACCAACACCAACTGAATCATCCCAGCCAGGGCTTTGTCAAGCCGGGCTTTAAAAACCTCTAAGGATGGAGATTCCACCACCTCCTTAGGGAACCCATTCCAGTGCTTCACCACCCTCCTAGGGAAATAGTTTTTCCTAATATCCAACCTCGACCTCCCCCACTGCAACTTGAGACCATTGCTCCTTGTTCTGTCATCTGCCACCACTGAGAACAGCCGAGCTCCATCCTCTTTGGAACCCCCCTTCAGTAGTTGAAGGCTGCTATCAAATCCCCCCTCATTCTTCTCTTCTGCAGACTAAAGAAGCCCAATTCCCTCAGCCTCTCCTCGTAAGTCATGTGCCCCAGCCCCCTGATCATTTTTGTTGCCCTCTGCTGGACTCTCTCCAATTTGTCCACATCCCCTCTGTAGTGGGGGGCCCAAAACTGGACACAATACTCCACGTGTGGCCTCACCAGTGCCAAATAGAGGGGACTAATTACTTCCCTTGATCTTCTGGCAATGCTCCTACTAATACAGCCCAATATGCCATTGGCCTTCTTGGCAAAAGGGTGGCCGCCAATGAGCAAAGGGCACACTGCTGACTCATATCCAGCTTCTCCTCCATGGTAATCCCCAGATGCAGAAAAGGACCATACCATTGATCTTAAAGGTGTTGGTGTGAATTTAAAGGGGACAAACTGTTGGGACAAGTTACTGAGTGTCGTGGGGGGAATACTCCATCCTGGGCAAGTTTTCAGTCAAGATTGGGTGTGTTTTTTGTTTTTAAAGAGCTTTTGGGGCAGGTCTTTGGCCTGTGTTCTCCTGGAGGTCAAACTACCTGAGCAAAATGACCCAGCTGGCTTTGGAATCTATGAACAAATATTTTTTTGCTCTTTTTTTGCTTCTTTGGGATGGGTAAAGAGGGCCTTCAAGGTTTGTTTTCTTATTTATATATATATATATATATAATCTGGGTGCCAGGGGATGAGCTCCCTCTAGGGGCTCCAATAGGAACAATATTCCGCTCACTCCCTGCTAACACAGCTGCTTTGTGGGGCTGGAGGTCCTGCATTTGGTTCCTGCCCCTGGCCATGGGGGCTACAGGCATGTGGGCCCTCCGCAGTTGTTTTTTGCTTGGAATCACATTTTTCGGCGTTCTTAGCTGTGCCGAATCTTTAGCCGGGATGACTTTTCTCCCCGCTGTTTGTTGGTTGCTTGAGTGAAATAGCCGGCCACCACAGTAATGCCCTCGCAGTTGTTATGAAATGGTTGGAAATGCCAACACCTTGTGACCAGGTTTCCCCTCGGCAGGGTCATAACCTGCCCAGATCGTTAGTCAGCCACAATGTTGTATGAAAAACTGGCCCCAAAATAATCGTAATATGCCCGACCTTGAGGTCCCAGGATCCAGTGACCTGTCTGGAAAATTATAGCAATGCCA